CAAAGGGGCCTGCCCTGCGGGGCTGGCCTCGGCCCCCGAAGGAGGGAAACGCTGCAACCTGTGGAGCCGCAAGGCGACAGGGCGGCCACACGCGCGACCCCACTCCCGTGCGAGTGCGGGACGGGCCGCCAAGCGAGGCCCGCGGCTGGCCGGACTCTTCTGGGGGCGGGGTGTTCCGAATTAGACAGGCGGGTGGCCGGGCCTGCGTCCAGCGCCCGTGGCTAAGAGGCACACTGGAGGCGAGGCGAGCTTTGCCTCGGTTACGAAAAAGGCAGGCCTGCCTACTCTCGCGTGAAAAGAGCCAGAACAGACAAAAGGAAAAACCTCCCTAATCTCTGTCTCTCAGAGGCAGCCCCGAGACAACCTCGCGATTTCCCTCGTCTTTCTAAACCCACGCACGGCATTGCTCTGTGAGGGTGGAACCTGGCTTGACCCTAACTAGTGTTAACACGAGTCCCTTTTCTTCTTTCTTCTTTGAGTCGGGGGCTCCCTCTGTGGCACAAGCTGGAGGGCGGCGGTGCGATCACAGCTCCCAAACTCCTGGCCGCAAGTGATCCTCTCATCTCAGCCTCCCGAGTGGTTGCAGAGACTACAGGCGTGAGCCATCATGCCTGGCTAAGCGTTTCTTCTTATTAAAATTCTTAACCTGGCTGGGCTCGGTGGCTCAGCCTCTCACCCCAGCACTTTGGGAGGCCGAGGCGAGTGGACTGCCTGAGGCTGCAAGTTCGAGACCAGCCTGGACAACTCGGTGAGACCTCACCTCTACAGTAAAATAAAAAATTAGCCGGGCATGGTAGCGCGCGCCTCTAGTTCCGGCTACTTGGAAGGCTGAGGTGGCCACTGCCCTCCAGCGGCCACTGCCCTCCAGCCTGGGCCACAGAGTGAGACTCCAACTCAAAAAAACAAAAAGTTGAAAGAAGTTCTCTTTGTCTTTACCGGCTGCATAAGCCTTACCAGACCACCCCGCCTCCAGACACTTAGGTTGTTTCCAGGTTGTCACTGTTTATGCGATGACAGGAGCTTGCATATGAATCTCCGTTCCCACCCTGGACATTTCCACCAAATCCCAGAAGGAGAGCCCCCAAGGAGCAGCCGGCCATGTCCCCTCGGGCTGTCCATGGGCCCTCGCATGGCACACAGGGGCATGGGCGGTGACCTCAGTACATTTCCCTGTGCTGAAGTCTTCAGAGACCGGGGCGGGCCCACTGTGGCAAACGCCTCCCCTGCTGTAACGTTGCCTTCTACGCTGCCCTGCTGCTTGTTCCCGAACCCGCCCCCCCCCCGCCTTGGGAAGCACCATCCAGGGAGTTGGGAGACCTGGGCCTTCCTTCTGTCCCAGTGGAACCGTGAACTCATGTCTTCCCTCAGTTGTCCTGTCTGTGTAGTGGGAGAGTTAGATGAGATTGTTTCTCGTGGTTCTTTTCACCCCAACATCCTGTCCCTCCCAGATCTGTAACCTGTGTCTAGCACACAGTGGGCGCTTAATAAATGTTACCGCATAATTGCGTCTCTCTGTCTTGCATCTCTCTTGCTACTGGAGATGACCAGGAAGAAAGAAACGACAGTGTGCAAAGAAGCCGTACCCCGTAGGGGCAGTGTGGGCTAGGTTAAGTCCCCTGGGTCCTGGTCCCTCGCGCCTCCCAGGGACTGGACAGGGAGGGGGCCATCTGGAAAGACCCTGGCCCTGCACGCCCAGCAAGGAGAGGCACATCTGCTCTGAGTAGCCACCAGGGGGCAGCAGACACAGCACAACGGAGTGGGAATGCCGAGACCCCATCCATTCCGGGTCTTAAGTCAGCCGTGTCTACACACCCTGTTGAGCTGCCCCGGGACAGCCACACCTGCAAAGTCTGTTTTTTGTTTTTTTGTTTGTACAGATGGCATCTCACTATGTTGCCCTGTCTGGTCTTGAACTCCCAGCCTCAAGTGATCCTCCAGCCTCGCCCTGCCAAAGTGCTGGGGTTACAGGCGTGAGCCACTTTGCCAGGCCCCGGCAAAGTCATTTGTAACAGAACCGCAGCAACGGGGGATGTAATAATAACAGCATTCTCTGTACTCATGGCTAATTTTCCAGGAGCTCCTTCTGTGTGCCAGGCCTCGCGGGCGGAGAGCCGGCCCGACCCAACCTCATTTGATCCTCACACAACCCTAGGAAGGAGGGCGAACGCTGTCCCCATTTTAAAGATGAGATGATGAAGGCACAGAGAGACTAAAGCCTCCAAGGTCACACAGCCAATAAACAGTAGAGCCAGAATAATTCATTAGGTCACTATGGGGGGCTTCCTGGAGGAGGTGACTTCTGAGTTGAGTCCTAAGGTATGAGCAGGAGTCAGCCAGGTGGAAGAGGCGGGGTAAGGAAGGCCTCACTAGGTGTGGGACCCGGTGGCCAGGGTGTGACCACACTCGATGTGTGTGAGAGGGCAGAGGAGTTGGGAAAGGTTGAAGAAGCCCAGCCTGCCATGGGCCTCCTGGAAGAGCCAGGATTGCCCCTCGAGGACCGAGTGAGCAGCGCCATGACCACGTGGTGTTCTAGAACGATCCCTCTGGCATGGACAAAGATAGGTGCAGCCTCGCCGCCTGCTTGGGGTAGCCCCAGCCTGAGACCTTGCCGGCCACCCGCACTTACCGCCTTTCTGGGACTCGATTTCCTTCTTGGCCTGCTCCAGGATGCTCTTGATGGCATCGTCCGAGCCCGTCTCCGGCGTGCGGATTCTTGGGGTGATGCTGCCTGGGGAGGCAGGGAGGCAGCTGTCTCGGGGCCGCGGGTGGACCGTGGCTTGCCGGGGCGGGGGCTGCCCCCTCCTCCCTGGGCGGCTGCGGGCCGGGAGAGGGAGGCCAGGGTGGCGGGGCCGCGGCGTGGTCGTGTGGCTTGACACCGTCATAATGGCGGAAAAAGAACGGCACCCGCGGCGAGGGTGACAATCCCCGTGACAAACAAGTCTCTGTGGCCAGGGCCTTCACCCTTTAATCCTCACGACCTCCCAGGAGGACAGGAATACCGAGGGCAGCTGGGGGGGGTTGTCTGAGGTCACCCAAGGGCTGAATGGCAGAGGGGAGAGTCCATCTCGGGGGCTTGTGGGGTCCAAGCTCAAGTCGACCCGTCGCACTGATTGCCCGAACAGCCAAGTCTGGCAAGGCTGGCCGACTTACGACTGGGCTGACGGAGGCTTGGAGGCATTCAGGGAGTGACTGAAGCCTTCTCCCGCCTTCCACAGTCAGGAGGGCTGGGGGTGTGGGGGCTGGCCTGCTTTCAGAGGGGGAAACTGAGGCACAGTCTGGGTGGCCGCAGAACTTGGCTTTGAACCTGGAGCTGGTGGCCTCAGCCCCAGCCCTGACACCTGGGCCTTGGCTGTGGTGGTGGGCCCGGCCCAGCTCTGCCTGGGGCAGCCCTGCATGCGGGGCGCTCACCTCGCTGCCCGGGCCCTGGCCGC